AAAGTGGTAAAATGTTCCACACCAAGAAATTCCATCACACAAGATGACAAAAGGAAAAAGTAAATATTGATAATATATTACTAGTAAAAGAAAATAAGATGGTACAAATATGTTCTGATGTACTATCATCAGTAACTTAATATATTGATCTTTCACGCAAAACCTTGATTTTTATACCTGATTTTAAAAAGAAATACATTCATCTATATGTTACTTATGTGTAAACACAAATGTGCCTATCATATGAGATACACATGTATAATGTATGAACACTTATAAATACCCATATAACTTAGATGTTTATATAAACATATCAAATAAGGGAAAGTGGAAAAGTATACTCATTTTCAAAATGGTATGCTAAGTAAACATCAAAGACAAAACTATAAGCAATATTAATGTCTGAAAAAAATTTTTAAGATACAAGTATTTCCTAATTTTGAATGAGTTTATATAATACTTAAATTTCAATTTTGAAGGAAAATATAGAAAGTTTAAGATAATTGTCATCTATAAAATATAAACTCAAATACATAAATCAAATTTGTAAAAGTGTCATGAAAACTCACTAGGTGACAACATTCTGCAAAACATTTTCAGTAACAAATCAGGAACAATGACTTCAGGTGAAATCGACAAGACTTGGTACTCAGAAGAGCAAACTAAATGATATTTTTCTAGTGTTGTATCGTATTCCCAAAGACACATCAAGCATACTTCAAATTTACTAGACATGTGAGAAAGCAGGTCTTGACAAATTTCAATGTGCCTTCTATGCGATGAGCATTCTCTTACCAAAATAAATCTACTTAGAGATCAGTGTTCAGTACTCCATGTTTACTACTGAAAAATATTTATTGCTAATTTGCCATAGGTCAAAATTCTAATTACCAACATAAAGAAGTACAAGGTGAAAGATATGGGGCTAGATTAATTCTTTTTCACATGAAGAAAATAAACGAAGTGCGGCATGTTAAATATCACATAATTCCTCTGATATGAGAAACCCCCCAAAATAAATAACGTCATGAACAAGACAAAAGAGACACAATAAGAAACAGGGAAGGTGACCTGGTGGGGCTGGGTGGGGTTTTGGTTGGCACAGAGAGGACAGAAAGAAGGGGAAGTGAAAAATGACTAAGATGATTGTGATCCTTATGCACTGCAAACACGTACCGATAAACTACAGAAAAATAAAGCAGGAAATACTCAGACCTCAGTTAAAACAGTAACGTTTTTCACCACGTTCTCAGGGAGCTGGGGGCCAAGCCCAGGGCCTCCACACACAGCGGGTTCTGTCCCTGAGCCGCAGCCCCGCCCCACAGAACTTTCGGGAGCAACCTGAGGCCGTCGCTCAGAGATTATGACCGATCGTTAATATTTAATTTTAAAATTTACTGAGCAGACATTGGAACAATCACAGAGAGTATCAGTTGAAGAAAGTAATGACTGAGAATAAGTTAATGAAATAAAAAATAAGCACACACCAGAGAACACAGGTAACATTTCAAAGAAATTTGCGTAGAAAAACCGATAGAGTTCAGGGACCTCTGGAAGGATTGACAGGTAGGCATGGAAAAGGTAAAGAATCATAAAGAAAAATAAAACACTACTATAAGTATCAGAATTTTTTAAAGACAAAATATGCAGTCTCAAGCCAATGCCAATGAATAGTACACTCGAACAGAAAAAAATTTTTTAAATATGTTAAATTTTCTGAAACTGACTCAGGAAGATGTACAATGTTCAAATTGTTCAGGCATTAAAATATTTCCACAAATAAAATATTCAGCACAAATATTTACAGAGATAAATTGTACCCAAATCATAAACAACATGTAGGGGCAGGAATATATAGATCAGCAGCATAAGCGCCTGCCTGGCAAGCTCAAGGTCCTGAGTTCCATTCCTGATAACAACGATAATAATAGTAATGATAAAAACAATATATACAACAAATGCACTGACACGGGACGGTCGGAGCCTGGGAGGGTGGCGTTCAGGCCCGTGCCGTTGGTGACCCTCCCTGGACATCAGCGCCTGCAGGCACATGACCTTCTGGCCCACCTGGGGGTCCAACATAACCACGTGAATGCTAGTAACGCTTTCGAATGTTTTTGTTTCTAAGAAAGTTAAAATTGCTTCATGCAGTAAATATTCATGCTTTGTCCTCGCAGACTGACATGGGCAGCTGCCACCTTGGCCACTCACCGCTCAGGAAAGTGGCGCCGGAGGAGGTGAACCCAGCAGTGAGCGGCGGCCAGAAACAGCTCGGTCCCGCCTCTCCTGTTGCGCGTGGATCTGATCTTCGTCCCGGTGTCAAAGAGGCTTCTAAGTGCTATCGAGGGCAGAAAGGCCACGCCGCACCTCTGCTTTACGGAACTGCACGTAGTGGATTTGGGAGAGGACAGTTCTTCGATATGTGGGGAGGGAATCACGAGGTTAATGAGACAAGACTGTAACAAACGTGGAGCAATGAAAACAAACCTGGAAATGCTGCGGACGCAGAGTTTTGGTAGTAGCTGGACGTGCGGACGTCAGGTAACACAGGTGGTGAGGTGCAGGGCGTCCTGCGGGTCAGACAGGGACTCTGAGGACCCCGAAAATGTGCGCCTCTTGTAAGAGAACGCGGTGTGTGAACTTTGCTTACATTTTTGTTTTCATTCCTATTAGATGTTTCAACCAGGAGTAACCAGAACATGGTGAAAAATGTTACACATGGTTGAAACATCTAATTGAAACCAGATGTTTCAATCAAACAATATTTTAAAAATAAAATCAGATCTACAAGGACAAAATCCAGCAAAGCAGACATAGTTATTTAATTACGGAGTAATACTGAATTTACATAGAAGACAGAACAGTGTCCATAGAAATCTGAAACACCCTATCAAATGTTAGCAGAGTTTTTTATTGAATTAAGGAGTATGAATAACGGGACAGTATATAAAGGCCATCTGAGTGTCTATTTGTTGTCAATGAATAATGAGAAATTGAAATTACAAAAATACCATTTATACTGCATCAAAAACTTGGAATACTTAGAGATTAATCTTTAAAAAATGTGGAAGTCTCCTATAGTGGAATCTATAAAACGTGGTATTTGTGTAAACAGAGTATTAATATAATACAATAATATATCCTGAAAAATACCCTCATTTATACGTATGCAGCTGACTATTGATATAGTCAAAGACAATTCAGTAAAAAAGAGTAGTATGTTCAAAAATGGTGCTGACACATTTGAATTTATGTGAAAAAAAAAAGAAAGAAACTTAAGCTTTGCACCGTATAAATCTAACCAAAAATGATCTTGGATCTAAATGTGAAGCACAAACTACAAAATCTGTAGGAAAAAAATCATTTATCATTTTTGATTAAGCAAAGGTGTATTAAATAAGACAATGGGAAAACAGCCCATACGTTAACAAAGTGATACATTGGATTTAATCAAAATTAGAACATGTGTTCTTAGAAAAACGTTGTTAAAAGAATGAAATTATAACATGTAAGAAAACATTTTAAATCATATACCTTTGCACTAGATATTTATTTAAGATGCATAATAATTCTTAGATCTCAAAACTAAGAAAAATACCAACCTAGTAGAAAGTGAGAAAAGATTTAAACGGGTACATACTTCACAAAACAAAAATATGAAGATTAAAAGTAATCACATGAAAGAATTTTCAACATCATTTGTCCTTTAAGCAAATGCAAAGAGAACTAAAACCAGATACATTGGCTATTCACAAAAATAGTAAAAAGGACAAGAAATGGCAATTTTCATTGTAGATCTAGAGAATCTGAGGCTCACACATGATTGTGACAATGTGAAATAGTACAAATGCTTCGGAAAACTCTGACAGTTTTTAAAGTATTAAGTATTCCATGACTGTATTCTGGAGCCTAAATTTCCAAGCATTTACTTAGGAGAAATTAAAGCATATGCCCATCTAAATGTTTGTACACAAAATAATGACCCTAACAACTGCATTTTCAATGGTCTCAAAATGGAAACAATCCAAATATATCAACACATGAATGGAAAAATATACTATATTCATGCCATATAGTCACACAATGATATATTATTCAGATAAGAAAGAGAATAAACTATTGAGATGTGCAATGAATTAGATGAAATAAGTATGCTAAGGGAAAGAGCTTAAACCCTTCTATACCCCAAAGATATATGATGCATAATTCAATTTATGTGAAACTGGAGGAAGTGCAGGCTCATCTATGGTGACAAAAAGCTCCTCAGTGGTCATCTGGAGCAGGGAGCTGCCTCAGAGGGAAAGCAAAGGAAGCACTGAAGGAGCCCCAGGAAGTATCTGTGTGGTGAATATGTTTGTAGTCTGCATGTGGGGTGACCGCAGAAATTTATGTTCTAAAACAAACATTGCCTATTGTGCACACAGTGTGAATTTATTACATGTCAATTATACCTCCATAAGGTGATCACAATATTATTCATCAATACAATTTATTAAAACTTAAAAATAGAAAATAGTAATTACTAATGTATGCATTTCTAAATATTTTAGATTAAATATTGAAGCTTCTTTCTAAACTTTGAGAAGGATCTATATTGGTAGTTCATAAATTATACTCAAGATACTCATTTTATTGATTTTATAAAATTATACAATTTTTACATAGATATTTTCTATCAGAGTCTTACCAAGATGGTATATAATATATAGGATAAAATCCATCCATCCGTCCATCTGCCCATCCCTCCCTCCATCCATCTATCCATCTATCCAGTCACCTGTCCTTCCAATTTTCAACATTTCCTTCCTCATGAGCTATGTTTTGCTCGCTGAGACATCAAGACATCAAGACAACTGAGTCTCACTCTGCCTCTTGGACAAAGCCTGGAATGGAGACACAGGTATCCACAGAGAGCTGGTCAAGTACTCCTGAAGCCTGATCCTCCTGACTCGTGGTGGTTTGGGCTGAATTCCAGGCTGGTCCTGAGACCCCCAGCGCGATCACCATGAGGAGAGCCTGCACGTGGCCCTGCTCAGCGCTTGCTGCACGTCCCTGTTCCTCAGGCTGTAGATCACGGGGTTCAGCATGGGGATGACGATGGTGTAGAAGATGGACATGACCTTGCTCTGCTCCATGGAGGACACGGCGCTGGGCTGTGCGTACATGAAGAAAACGGTACCGAAAAACAGGCAGACCCCGGTGAGGTGGGAGGCGCAGGTGGAGAAAGCTTTGTGGCGTCCTTGCGCCGTGCGGATCTTCAGGATTGTAGAGATGATGTAGACGTAGGAGACCAAAACGACCAGGAAGGTGCCAACGATGATGGAGCCACAGAAGCCAAGCAGAACCAGCTGGTTTATGAAGGTGTCCGAGCAGGACAGGGACAAGAGGGGGACCACGTCACAGAAGAAGTCATTGACCTCATTGGGCCCACAGAAGGACAACGTAAAGGTCATGGTGGTCTGAGTGACAGCATTCAGGGCGCCCCAGGAGTAGGACCCCAACACGAGCTGTCCACACAGCTGCTGGGACATGCTCACGGGATAGAGCAGGGGGCTGCAGATGGCAATGAAGCGGTCATAGGCCATGGCAGCCAGCAGGAAGGCCTCAGTGGTGCCAAAGAGGGACAGGAAAAAGAACTGAGCTGCACACCCCCCAAAGGACACCGTGTGCTGCCGGGCCCAGAAGTCCACCAGAGCCCTGGGGGCGATCGTGGAAGAGTAGCAGATGTCCAGCAAGGACAGGCTCTGGAGGAAGGCATACATCGGGGTGTGGAGGTGTGGGTCTGCCCTGATGAGCACAATCATGCCGCAGTTCCCCACCACGGCGATGACATAAAGGGTCAAAAATACAAGAAAGAGCAAAGTCTGCATTCCTGGGCCCCCTCTGAATCCCAGTAGGACAAACTCTGAGACTTGTGTGAAGTTCGCCATTGTGTAACTGCAGCCAGAGAGGTGGAGGAGCAGGAGAGAAAACGTGTCAGCCAAGAGTGACTCAGAGGACAGCTCGAAACTCAGTTAAGCTAGGTTAAATTAGGTTAACTAGAGATCTCTGTGTGGCGTCATGACTCTGTTCATGGTCTTGACGATAGTGTCTTGGTCTACTGAATTCCATGCACCTTGCAAAGGAGAAGGGTTCTGCTGCCGGGGAAAAGAGCTGGACATAAGTGATGGAACGGCATCCTAGTGTTCTGTGCCTACGAACCCATCAGTGTGGTATCCACCTCAGCTCTCTGATGTATTTTGTGATATTCCCTTATGTCACAGTCTCAGGTTTTTTTTTTTTAATAATTTAGAGAAATTTCAAAGCACAAAGACAGCGGCTGGAAGAATAGTTCCGTGGTGGAGCATCTGCCTCCCCTGGGTTCAATACCAAGCACTAAAGGGAAAAAAACAAAAAGTTAGACAGAAAGACACCCGAGGTGGTGCTCCTGAGTTACCTGAGCTGATTCTGCATGTAGCGATCAACATCTGTGCAGAGATGGGGGATGATGGGTGTGCAAAGTTGACTCCTGCAGGGTCCTGTGTCGCACTATCGCACTGGTTTCCTGCTACTGCCACCGCCAACTGCCTTAGATTCCATGGCCTGAGACGTAGCAGTTAGCAGTCTCGTACCTCCGGAGAAGGCGGGTGCACAGTGAGCTTCGGCGCCCCGGGAGGTGTCAGCAGGCCCGAGTCGTTTCGGCGCTGTTACCGGGAAAGAGTTCGCCTTTCCCAGCAGCTAAACGCCCCCTGCACCCCTGCCCTCTGCCTCTTCCACTCTTAAAGCCAGCGGCACAGCCTCTGCTCTTCTCTCTGCGGCCTCCGCCTTTGGCCTCGCATCCAGTGCATCTGACCTCCCACCTCCTCTCCATCCTTTGGGTCCCGCCATGCAAACCAAGACAACTGACACCTTCACTCTTAACAATCATCTCTGCAGAGTCCCTTCAACCACTGAAGGGGCACGTTGAAAGACTACACATGTTAACACACTGGCAACAGGTGGGGAGGCGGTAGCCATTCTGCTATTGGACATATTTTTAAAAAATTGATGACATTGTGGTTAAAACATAAGGGAAAAGTCATCGAAAAATACATAATATTTAAAATACAAATTAGATCTTTTAAACTGTAATCATTGATGGACTCTCTTTCTTAAATCCATGATTATTAAACTGTATTTTTATTTTGCTTATAACTCCTCCTTTGGTACTCTACTGTCTTTATTAAATAATAAACAGTATAACCACAATGCATTTAAGTAGCTTATCTTAAGACTGATAGAATTTGGAGGATGAAAGTGGGGGTTTAATCATAAGGTGAGACTTCTGCCTGTTGAGCAGAAAGCATGGGATGAAGGGATGACTGTGAATGTGCCCCTATGTTTGTGAATTGGTGTACGCAGGGAAATCTGCTGTTTGGGAAACCTGCTGATAATATTTCTTACTCTACGGGAAATAGAAATAAACATACCTATCCTAGAATGTGTAAATGGATACTACATGGTAGCTTTTATTTAGATTACATACAAAATAAACATGAATATCCTCTCTTCTTAAGAAGTCTAACATGATAAATTAAATTTATATGAAATAACCCTTATTTTCTCAGGTGAGGAGTCACAACATCTTTTTCTAAAATTCATTTGCAACTTTAAATTCACCAGCACCTTGGGATTTCCTAAATATAACCATATCACACTTCTCTAATTTTTGGTTCTTCCCCTCTTTCAGAATATTTCCAACTCCAGTGGAGGGGTTTGGTTTGTCGTTACAGGAGCAACAGGATCAGGAAAGGATCCTGCACTCACATCAGGGTGCTGCACCAATGAGCAATGTCTCCTCCTCACACCCACCACACCAGCTGGACTCAGCACTCTGCTCTCCACAGCAGGCAGCGGAAAACACGACTCCTCGCTTTGAACACTGGGGCTCACACTGTTGAAGGTGTAGATTCCAAACCCCGAGTACCTTAACTCCTCAGTAGAGAGAAACAAGTCACAAAGCCAGAGTAGCCTTAAAAGGAAGCAACGCCAGTCATGTCCGTGCAGAACGGCAGTGACAGCTGTGAAACTTGCCCAGAAGGCCAGGACTGCATAGCACGGCACTCTGCGCTCAATAAAACTAAACCTGATGCACATATTATTATTATTAGTTATTATTGTTATTGTTAGTATCATTTTATCTCAGGGGAAGCACTTAGTAGATGAGGTAGAAGCCAGCTAACTTCTAATGAGCCGATGACGATCCCTGTCTCTCATCAGGGGCTTCATTTTTTGAAAGATTCTTTGCTACAGAATCTCAAGAAAGGAAGAAAATTTTCCAACAACCAAGCAAACTTCTACCTCTGAACTTTTTAATACATTTAAGGACTTTATACCCATCAGACCAAGATTTTAGTTTTAAATGCTTTCGAGGTGAGTAGTTATGGTTGTACTGCGACACAGTGATACAGAAAACCAAAGCTCACAATCTAAATTTTAAGAGAAATAGCTAAAATTTCTTGGGTAATCCTTAAAAAATATTCACTGCAACTTTATTTTTCTAAACACTCAGGGAAGCCCCCAGTGCCACCACTAATAGTGATGAGTCTTCTGAGGAGTGTTCAAGTGTGCAGTATTTCTGCTGAAACACAGCTTGAGTTTCTGCCTGACTCCAGGGCCTGTGCTCTCGCTCCCAAATGGATGCTTTGAACTCACAATGGTCCTCTTGCCTCAGCCTCCCAAGTGCTAGGATTACAGGTGTGTGCTACCATGCCTGGGAGTTACCAGTGTTTTTAATCCAAGTACTCAGGTCTAGGTCAGTATTGCTGTGTGTTATTGTATTCTAGGGGTTTGTGGGTTTTTTTGGAATTAGTATTCTTTGCTGCAAAATATTCACCGTACTTATTAGAATGTCACTATTTTCAGATAACACCATATGTGACCAAGTAATCAAGCCTGGGGCATAGTTCTAGGTAACTCGATAGTGAGCTTTGTGGTAGGAAATACATTTCTTATATAGAAACCTTGAAATAGATGATGGTTAAGGCCTATTCACTGTCAATATTTTTAGATTCTCCTGGTGTTAATTATTCTATCTATTCCTTCTACCTGTGGAAAACAAGATGGAAAAATCCAGTGAAATCCTCTCCATGAGTGACACAATCTGTAGTCTTTGAATAAAAATTGTAAGAAACTGCAGACTCTTGAATCAAAGAAAAATTGAGGCGTGGTGGTGTGAAAAGCAGACGTGATACTGGGGAATGTGCCCTGCATTCTAAAGCAAGAGGTCATTTCTAGCTGCTCTTCAGTCAGTAACCCATAAAAAACTTAAAACCCAGAATCAGATGGATTGAGCAGATTTCTCATCTACTAGGGTCATCATAGTGTCCCAAGAACTATGCAAATCTTGCCTCATGTCATCCGTATGAAAACTGTGTGGGTTAAATAATGATAATGATAATCATTTCACAGAAGGGAAAAAGTAAGTTGGGAGAATTAGACCTTTTGCTCAAATCCCCACTATTAATAAACATGAAGCCACAGTTCTATCCCTAGAAATTTAACTCCAAACTCCATACCACAATGTCTATTAATTAGACAAGGGGACAAAATAGTCCTACTTCTTAATCTTATTGTTTGTCTTAAACATAAAATTGGAGATCTTTTTTCTATGAGTCACTTTTGTTATAAATTTGCATCAATGACCTGCAATTTAAAAAATCCCAAACCTTGATTTGTTTGTTGTCAAATGCTCCAGGACTCGGTGCGGTGGAAATTTGTGGAAGAAACCACAGAGAATGAGGCCGTGTGTGCTTGACAGCAGGAACTCCGGGCCAGGGGCCCTAGATTCAAATGCTTCCTAGCGGTGCTTCCTTGGGAAAATGTCTGATTCCTTCCACGTTTCAGTATCCCGACCTGTCAGTGCGGGAGCGGGGCCCCTGGCTTCATTGTGAGGTCGAACATGTTTCTCAGGCAAAAGTACTTTTGGAGTGTTCCTGGCATATCATGAGCACAGTGCCAGCGCTGCCACGGTTAATTCCATTTTTTTTTATTTTAAAGAGAAAAAACAATGATACCGAATTTCAAAACAAGATAATAGGAGATGAGCAATGGTTAATACAATGACTGCTGCCATCTTCACAGTTGCTCAGGTTAAAATATATAGGCATGAAAAATTGATCAAACAATATAAGTACAAACCTTTCCCTTCAATGAACTAATAAAAGTAGTAGTATAATTATCTTAGCTATCTTGTATATGTGTGTATATATATGCTGTTTTAATTGAGGTCTGCCATGTTCATAAATTACATGGAGTTCTTCAGCCATTTCTGATTGACTTGGATTTTCTGCCAGCTTTACTAGAATTTACATCAACTTAATCCTAAATTCCAGTTTGAAGAAGCTGCATGCATTCTCAGTAAAGCCAGCCTCACCTGCACATCCTGCGTCCTCCCTTCTTTTTGGAGCCAACGCTCAGACGCCCCCCCCCAGCTCTGCAATGAATGATGTCCACACTAAAGTTCTACCCACAGGACTGAGGATTATAAGAGTTTCCTTGGCGCTGGTCATCTGAGAATCCTTCCCCAGGGTCCCACGTTCCAAGAGGAGTTGGGCTCACTTGTATACTACAACTTGGCAGGAAGACAGAAGGAGGTATCCAGTAAGGGTTAGGGAACAAAGGAAAGCAGAGTTCACAACCACACTGCCCTGCTGTACTTGTGAGCTTCAAGGACACAATTTCCATGGAATGTCCTCTGCTTTTACCCCAGACCTGTAGTCACTGGTTTGGCACAGCATGAACACATGTGAACCAGATGCAGTCAATACTGGTCAGGTTTTGAGCTCTCTGGGAACCTATTCAAACCCAAGAATAGACTTACTTCTAGATATTTTTTTGAGACATTTTATGTTATGCTTTTGTTTAACTGAAATAAGGAAGAGGTGATGGAAAAGACTTAAAGTTACAGTCC